AAGTAACATAAAACAATGATCTGCCTTTCCTTTATTCCCAACTATCATTAATGCTTGAATCCCACCTGGTTAAGTGAAATGTTATCGCGTCCCAACCACGTTAACTATTGGAGCTAAACCGTGCACTGTTACTCACTCTCCCAATTTACAATAGTAACAACGGGCATTAGGTGCCACACATTACAGGTTTGTATAGTAGAGCAGTGTCTGAAGACACATAATAAAACATTTAGCTACATTATATTTTTTCTGTTAATATATATATTTATATATAATGATAAAAAATCAGAATAACATATTAACAAATAAAAAAAAAAATCAAAATTTCATCGAAAAATGACACATCTTTAGAGGGTGGAAGCATGGGTGTAGGGTTTGTGACGAATGCAATCACCATTCACACCTATATTGCAAGACATGTAAAAAGTAGTGAATGGAAAATATAGGCAATGTAAATGCGATAATTCTCGAATAATTAAAAATAAAACCGAGTTACTATACAATTATATTGCTCAATAATTACATGATCATATAGGTGATCAGCCAACAGAAAAAGAACATACATTGATTTGAAAATAGATAAAGTGGTTAACTCATTTTATCTTTATATGTTTGTAGTAACATTCGTGATTTCATAATCAAATAATAACTTCATATATGAAACAGAAAATAATACATCTTAAGATTTCTTAGTTAATTATTGTTATAATAAATCATAATGAAATATAAAGTGTTTAAAGCATAGTTAAACTAATAACATTACGTCACTATAATTAATTCGATTACTTCAAAAGAAATTGCCGAATTTTGGTTAATGCAGTTAATACTTCTATCCTTCCTTTTGGGTCAGCAAGATCAAGACCACTTAGTTTTTTATTCTCTCCTGGCCATCTTTTAATTGTAACTAAATATTTTTTTGGTAAGCCTATACCAAGCTAATTCCAATAATTCTTAGAAATCTCAGCTTTATAAAACGTAACATAGGTGGAGATAAAGCAAACAGCAAATAAAACCTGATCAGAGACTTCACCAGTCTCACGTATATTTTCATCTCCGCAAGCAAGTATTTCGCCAGCAATTTGCATTTCTCTATATTCATTTCTAGGGTCAACGTTTCGTAAGCTTTTATCCTGTCAAAGATTATTTAAGTAATCAAAGTTACTGACTCGCCAAACAATCAAAAAAAAAATACATACTTCTGTAATAACCATAGATATTGTTCCTTTTTTAACCACAAATTCGGGAGTTGCCGAAACATAAGGTTCATTTAAAATGTATAGTTTACTTTGAGGATGTTGTCTGATTTTAACGAAAGAAAATTTAGGAAATCATTAGAATAAGTAATAGGACTAGAGATGTTCATGTCACGAAATAAACCTAGTATACATTTCATATATCGTACGCGAGATCATATCGCGAAATTTTGCGCGAGATATGTGACAGAAATTCATTTATTAAGAATTTAATTCAAATTTGCCTAATCAATTTATTTGTCTCGTGTGAGATATGATACCACCTCGTGCAAGTCATGCGAAATCGCAAGCACGATAGTTTCGCCGCTTCGCGTGAGGTACATCTCTAAATATGACATAGGCTTTCTCAGGCTGCTTACGTTATTTTCAAAGGATAATAATTCAGCAGAGCAATACGAAGCAGATCAGCAACCAAGTCATTAGTACTGGACTCGGGTATACCTGGTGGGTTTCTCGTGACGATATGCAGTTTATCAAAGAAGGTTTGAACGGACCCATCAGAAATATCATTTATTTCTCGAACTTTAAATGCTGCTTTATCGAGTATGTCTCTGTTTATTTTGGGGCAAATATAGTTTTTTGGAAAGTCTTCGATTTTTTCATTAGGAATAACGAGGTCTTCAGATGCTGGTTGAAATTTCACCCTCAGTGCTCCTACATCATCTTTCGTAAATTTAGATGCTTGAGTATAGATGTAATTCGGATGATTAAGCAAGCTTCTGTCTATATTTCGCAAAGTCTTAAGGGTTGAGAGAAATTTGACGAATGCAAACATTGAAAAAAAAAACGATTATCGAGTAAATCATGTGCAAAATGTAATTTTTTTATAGTGTTAGGTGATTTTAGGTTTTGGGTTACATCTGATCTTAAAATTTGATAGCGAAATTTTTTAGATTGATAACTCTAGAACAGTTTTTTTTTATAGCATCTTCGAAGCTAATTAGGTTATCGAGTCATGCGCAAAGAGTGATTTTTCTATGGTAACAGAAAATTGCTTGTTATCACCTATATCACCAAAGATTAAGAACTAATTTTTCTCACCTTTCTTCCACCGTATAATGATAAAACATATAATTGGAAAATTCGTTTATTATTGCGAAATGGAAGGGCGAATTTCATGACCAAAAAATAGAAATACCAAAACGGGTTGTATAAATATGTGAGAAATTAAGTTGCACAGAAAACATATTCTATAATACGTATATATAATTTAAATTTTTGGGGGGGTTTTTTTTTTTTGGAGTTAGGGTTATGTATGTACAATATTTTACAGTCACGAAGTGACTATTCCTCTGTTTTATCCGGGACTAATCTTTGTTTCAGCAGTTATATATTAAAATATATTATGCGGAGCGCATTAGGTATTATCCCGTTTATACGAATTCGAATCCCAACTAATTTTTTTTTTTGCACATTCACACAATCGCGTTAAAATAAAAAATTGAGAGCCCCTCTTTATTTATAAAAATTATTGCCGAAATACAATATAAGAAAAAAATAATAAAAATTACAAATAAAAAAAAGCATACGCCTCAAAGAGGCACACTTAACGGGTCAGGTTGGTGGGGTTTACATTTGATCTAACATATTCTGTCGCTGACCGGGATTTATCCAATCATTATCATCATTGTCCCTATCACATTATAAGTTTTTTTTCGATATTTTTTCCCAGGTATCATAATCTAATTATTAGTAAAATAAAAAACTTAGTTCAGATAATTAAATTATATTTCAACGCGAAAGCACTGGCACGACTTACAAGATAAAAATTGTCTTCGGCCTGTATTGTCGTTTTCTTGTTCATAGGGGTGGTGGTTTTTTTATTACTGCTCATTTTTCGTTCCTAAATAAAAAATATATAAAACAAGTAAAAATTCATTTTCATAACTTCTAATAGATAAAATATCGCATTACTTTAAAAATTAATTATGAGTAGGTAAAAAATGTGTATGAACAAAAAAAAAATAATATTATAACTAGGGATGGGCCACTGCAGTGTGATTTTTAAAATTCAGGCTAGCTAGTGAGAACCGGGTACAGCGGCGAGTCAGTCGCTCAACAATCTAATTCCTTGCGTAACCTACGGCTGGCTTAGTCGAAAAGAGGCGTTTAGATTTGGTCGGTGGTTTGGGTTCCGTAGGTAGGTATCTCTATTATCCGAGTAATATCTATTCTTTCTTTAACCACAGCTATACCACACTACTTCGGGCAAGCTGGACTTAGTAACCACAGTTGTACCTAGTACGTCAGGTTAACAACTGGACAAGGTATCTAATTAACGATAGTCACGTGAACAAGGGTTTATCGAAA